GGGGGTGGCCCGGGGCGCGGGGACAGCAGGGACAGTCGGGGGTGTGGGGACAGCCGGGGGGCACGGGGACAGCGGGGACATCCCGGGGCACAGGGACAGCGGGGACATCTGGGAGCACGGGGACATCCAGGGGCACGGGGACACTGGGGATGCCTGGGGACACAGGGACATCCAGGGGCACGGGGACATCAAGGACATCGGGATGGCCGGGGGCATGGGGACGGCAGGGACATCTGGGGGCGCAGGGACAGCCAGGGGCACAGGGACATCCAGGGGTGTGGGGACATCTGGGCCCGCCAGGGGAATGGGGACAGCAGGGACATGCAGGAGCATGGGGGCACCCAGGGGAATGGGGACGGCAGGGACGCCCAGGGACATTGGGGACACCTGGGGACATCAGGGACGTCTAGGAGCAGCAGGGACGTCCGGGGACACGGGGACATAGAGGACGTCCAGAGACATCAGGAACACCCAGGGGCACGGGGATATCGGGGACACCCAGGGGCACATGGACATCAGGGACCCCCAGGGTGTGGGGACATTGGGGACCCCCAGGGAGGGGGGACATCGGGGATGCCCGGGGGCATGAGGACATCTGGGGACACCTGGAGACGCAGGGACACGGCGGTGGTGAGGATGGGGACATCCAGGCCGCGTAGGAGCACAGGGCTGCCTGTGGGGGCCGGAGGGGTGACACGGGGCGAGGGGTGACACGGGGAGGTGACACGGGGGGGAAACGGGGCGGCACCTGGCCGGTGAGGAAGACGAGGATGTCCCCGGGCGGCTGGGGGACGGGGATCTGCAGCCCCGACCCCAGGGGACAGCCCTGTCCCTGTCCCCGTCCCCCCGTCGGGTTCGGGGCCCTCTGCGTCCCTGCGGCGCCGTGTCCTCCTGGGTGCCCTGCTCCCCAGTGTCCCCAAGGTCCCTGGCGTCCCCCCATGTCCACGTGTCCTCCAGTGTCCCCAGACCCCCATTGCTCCCACGTCCTGGTGTCCCCCCACGTCCACGTGTCCTCCAGTGTCCCCGTGCCCTCAACGCTCCCACGTTCCCAGGTGTCCCCCGCAATGCCCACGTGTGCTCCCGTGTCCCCAGGCCCCCAGTGCTCCCACGTTCCCCCAACGTCCCCTGGTGTCCCTCCACGTCCACGTGTCCCACAGTGTCCCCCTGCCCTCAACGCTCCTACCTCCCCCGGTGTCCCCCCATGCCCACGTGTCCTCCAGTGTCCCCGTGCTCTCAACGTTCCCACGTCCCCCAGTGTCCCTCAACATCCCCTGGTGTCCTCCCACGTCTACGTGTCCTCCAGCGTCCCCCTGCCCTCAATGCTCCCATGTCCCCCCTGGTGTCCCCCCACGTCCACATGTCCTCCAGTGTCCCCATACCCTCAACACCCCCATGTCCCCCAGCATCCCCGGTGTCCTCCCATACCCACGTGTCCCACAGGGTCCCCGTGCCCTCAACGCTCCCACGTCCCCCCGGTGTCCCCCAGCATCCCCGCGCCACCTTGGTGTAGTAGATGTCGACG